CCCCAAAACCCCAAAACCCCAAAACCCCAAAACCCCTTACAATGAAATTAAATTGGCAGATTTTAAAATAATAAAAATTTAAAGTTGAAATGGATCCAGGTGAGTGGGACAAATACAATAGCTCTAAAGGCTTTGCCAATAAGGAATTAGACCAACTTGATGAGCTAGACCCGATGATGCCATTTGCACAGAAAAATATTATTAAAAATATTATCTCTGGAGCAAGGGCAACCCTTAACGAACCAACAAGGCCGGAGACACCGGCAGACGGGCCAAGATATCTGTTCGAGGGGTCTGATTATAAGGAAAGGCCAGGCTCTGCTTATAAAGTAGGTGATGTGGTTGATAATGCCATTGATAATTTCACAAGATCATCTACTTCAGAGTCCCATGCAAGGTTAAATCTCAACCAAAGACCTTCTTCGAAGGGAAGAAAGAATCCTATTTTAGAACCGATTGTTAGGAAATAACGCTTCTGGGAAAAAGACTAAGCTGGCTATAAAGAAACCTCTTCCTGGGGAAGGGAAGAAGCTGAAACCTTTGAAGACATTCAACAAAGGACAGCCTATCAAGATTATGAAGCCTAACACGATTCAGCCAACCTCTCAGGAAAAGAGACAGGAGGGTCTCAACATCGGAGACTGAGAAATTGGGGAAACCAATCTCAAGAACAACCAAGATGACGCATTGAAGCAACAAGAGGAGTTCATGAAAATCATGCAGCAGGCCAAGCAGGATTACGAAATTTATATCGATGACCCTGAGGAAGATGATATGGAGAAGGAGTTCCTTCAAAGTATGAGTAATGAACTCCAATCTACTGCTCAATATGAACAGACTGATCAGTATACAGCTGCTCTGACAAAGCTAGAGGAAATCAAGAAGAACCAAAATGACCTTGAAGAGGTTAAAAAGCCTACTTCCAATGACAATGATGATTTCGGTCAGTTAGATGACTACCTAGAAGAACAAATCACTAATGAATACCAGCATTTGATGGATGAGGACAACCTGGATTCTAATCAACCTGAGTCAAGATTTAGAGAGAAGTATGACAATCTTATTCAAAACTTTTCGGAGGCAATCAAGAATCGACAAAATCTTCCATTAATTGAAATTTCAAATATCACAGATAAGATCTGGGATCTCGTTGATGAATGGAGAGACCATGATCTCACACAGACAAAGGAGTGATACAAAGAGACGCTTATTAAAGGAGTGCTTGCTTTGATCGACAACGTAAATCCCAAGGCTGTTTTAAGACTTTGCAGATGCTGAATTCATATCATAAACTCAATTTTTAACGAAAAGCTAAGACTATCCAAAGAAGAGAGACTGGAGGATATAGAATTTATAAAAATATTCAACTCTTTAAAGTCAACTGTCCAGATCCTCTTCAAGTTTTCTAAGGATGATAAGAATGATAATCTATACGAACAAGAGAAGGTCTACGATACGCTTATCAACGTCCTTGTGACTTATTACATTGAAGGATCATCTATTCTAGATCAGCTGATTACAAAGATACTTAAGAGATCAGAAGGCAAGAATGTTGAAATCAAGAATACCGATGCGATATTCGACATGTTGATTTACATCGTCGGACTTCTAAAAAACTCTTCTATGAGCAAGGAGAACCAGAATATCCTTCACAATAAGAATGCGCTTAAAATTTTGAGTACTTTGTGTAAGACAGTCCTGAACGAAGAGGATAACAAGAATACCAAAATACCACAACTGTTGGTACAAATAACAGGGTGTTATAGGAATCTAGCCATGGAACGTCAGCAAGTAGAGTTATTCATCCAAGAAGGAGCCCTGGTTGCCCTTTCACAAATGATAAGCAGTTTCAAAACACATAAGGAATTAGTGCTTAACATTGTGAGGACTTTATCAAAGATCTCCCTTAGCTATGAAGCCTTAGATGTCATGAAATTATTAGGTGATGATTTCATACTTACACTAAACGAGATCATGATCAGTAATGCTGAAAGTAATTCGATTCTTGTCAGATCTGCATTCATTCAAGGCAATCTCACCACTGTGTATACTGAAAGTCGTCAGGCTCTTCTCAAAGATGGAAAAATCTTTGTAAATCTGCTCGATTTGTCCCACAAATTGTTTGACAAGGATAAAAATAAAGACAAAACTAAAGAGAAGAAGGCTAAATCTTCAAAGAAAGGAGACTTTAATAGGGATGCTTCTGAAGACGCACTCACAAAAGTCATTAGATTGGTCGCTAATCTCTTAACAGAACCTCAGTGCAAGAAACTGATCGAGATCAATAAGAAAAGAGTTGATCTGTTCTTTAGAAACTGAATAAAGTCTTTACAAGGGAAAACCCTTGATAAGAGCGAAGAGTGCATCCTTAATGTAGTAGCCTGATTCACTAACTTCCTTTTCTATGATTCAGGAGAATTCTCCATCTTCACAGACGAAAGAGCTGAAATGCTCAGACAGCACTGTATAAAATGAGTTGGACTCTACTTGTTTAATTCAGATAACGATGAGCTTAAGGTTGAAACTATGAGGGTTCTGTGTAATCTTTCAAGAAATAAGGAATGATGTAAACTGATCTCAGAGTCCGATACCCTTCTGAAGAACCTTGTCCAATCACTTGAGAGTGAGATCAGAGATCTGATATTCTATGACATTGGGCTGCTAATTAACATTGCTCTGAATCCTGTGGGGAGGAAGAAAATAACGAAAATGTGATTGCCAACCCTCATTGACAAATTAAGAGATTCCAACATTGAAGACATGGATCTTTCGAAAGTCATTTGTAAAACTCTTGTCAGCTTCTGAGAAGAAAGATTCTTCTGGAAAAACGATAACATTGAAGCTACCAATGAGATTTGCTCTGAGATTGGAGAAGAGCTTGATTCCATCATGGATGTGGCCAACGAAAGTGAAAAGCAGATCCTTCTGGAGTTGAGATATTGAATCAACCAGGTTATCAATAGCATCCCTGAGATCACACTTGATTGCCCATTTGACAACTGAGGAAGAAAATTCAAAAATCAGGAAGAATTAGATGGTCATGTGCAGAGAAAGCATCAATCTTAGATTTCTTTGGAGTAAGATTTGAAGAATTGGCAGAATTTCAAAATTAGTTTAATGATATGGGGTTTTGGGGTTTTGGGGTTTTGGGGTTTTGGGG